TCCTATATGCCACAACCTTCCAAACATTGGAAGATATGGAGCAGAAGGAAGACAAGGAGTAGATCAGAGAACTGCAAGGACACATACGAGAGTTGAAGACACCCAAACAGAATTGGTTGGAATGCCAGATAGCAGCAAGCTCTGATGGGCCATGCTCATATTGAGCAGAAGGNGGACACATACGAGAGTTGAAGACACCCAAACAGAATTGGTTGGAATGCCAGATAGCAGCAAGCTCTGATGGGCCATGCTCATATTGAGCAGAAGGAAGACAAGGAGTACATCAGAGAACTGCAGGGACACATACGAGAGTTGAAGACACCCAAACATAACTGGTTGGAACGCCAGATAGCAACAAGCTCTGATGGGCCATGCTCATACTTGCAAACAGATGCTTTTTTAGCAGGGTCTTAGGTTGATTCCGGGGGGGGTACGACGTGGTCCCAGATATATGAATGTTCAGCCAATTTGTCAAGGGAAATAGGATATAAAGAGTTTACAGGGTACAGGCATAGTAATAATCGAACAGGGGGGCTGCTGAAATAAGGGTTGGGTTAATAGATAAGGGGTGCTCCTAAAAAGGGAAGGGTGATACTAACAGCTCCATGGGATGATGGAGCCCCAGGATGAGTCAGTAACAACCACAGCCCCAGGGAACAACAAACACCAATCTCAATGCTACACGATGTACCAATGGGACGCTGGACCCGGTTTCCAGCAGGTGTCACTCCCCACCAATAGATGGAGCAGCCCGACAGGTAAGCCCTCAATTCTGACGGTTCTCTTACCACCGCCAGGATCGAGGGATATCGTATGGGACATTCTCAAAAAAAAAAAAAAAAAAAAAAAAACGATAGACAGGGAAAGGGGGTGAAGGGGGAATGGGTCCGGGAATTCAGACGGGGGCCTCATTGGGAAGGAAGGCTCGGTATTAACCCATTATTTAAAGGCCAACTTGTTATCTCTAGAGGGACCCTATTCCGTCAAAGCAACTCGGTCTCTCCCCCCATTATACTCGTGCTATCCATCCCCCCCGCTGTCCTCCTAGCCAATCTGTGCAGAAGGAGGTAATTGCCTTCTTAATATCCCGGTCCGTCTGAAAGATGTCTAGCTGGACGCCACCCGCTCACACACAAATCAACCCAAACAGCTGCAGGATGATCTCACAGTTTGACACCCATAGATACAGGTAGAAAAACCGCAACCTTGCAAGCACACCTTCACATGCAGATCTAAGCACGGTTGTTCTGTTATCATAAAGCACATTGGAAAATGTGAAACTGAAAGGGCAGCACTAAAGCTGCAATGGAGGAAAAGATACTGGAAACTTAGTGGTCATTTCCAGCACATAAACTCAGATGTACAGGGACGCTGGACCCGTTTTCTAGCAGGTGCTGCTCCCCACCAATAGATGGAGTCTTCGACGATTAAAAAAAAAAAAAAATGCAGGCATATACAAGCAGGTCACAAGAAGGTGACCCAGCAGAGGAACATTGGATACGTCTCCTGCGCACATGGAGGAAGTTCCCACTCCCCGACCGCCCCTCCCCAGACAAATGGGAAGAGCGCTGTTCGACAATAGATTAATCACAGATTCCCTCAGCCGGGTAAGGAACAGCTCGGACTCCCCATGAAAAATTTGGGTGAAACATGGGGTACTCGGTGTGGGGGACCTTTGGGATGGGGAAAGCGGAGAATGGAAAAATGCAGCAAGAATGAAAAGATGCTTGCGCTACTGCCACTCACTCAAGTCCACAATGGAAGAACTTATTGAAAGTTTCCCCATCCAATAGTGCACTAGGCTTAAGAAAGGTCCAACGTTGAAAGAAGGCGATTGGGTGGGGCTACCTCGCCACGAATCACAAATAGGCTGGGTATACATAGTGGATCAGGCACAAGTCCTCATCGAACGCTACGCTATCACATAAACAGGGCGGCTACAAGAGAGCAGACAACCTTTCATTTGGAAAGGAAAATCAGAGGTCTATCGCATCAGGGTGATCGAAGAGGGGAAATTTTGGAGAGCGTATCGTCCAATGAGCCCAATCGAGAACCTCCCCCTTGATCCCCAAGAATGACGATGGTCATGGAAAGGCAGGGGAGGGCGGGGACGGGGGGAGGAAAAACGGTCCATTTAGCCATCATAAAAATGAAGTCCGTCTACCGAATGCTCAGACCCAAGCGTGGGCTAAAAGACGTGGTGGCGGACAGATGGCAGCGCCATCTAAATGTAGACAGAAGCACACTCAAACCTATCCAATGGTTCAGCGAGTATCAGAAAAGGCCGACAAAAATCTCCGCTCTTCAATGGCAAATCACTCATCGCTGCCTACGGACCAATGATTGGCTGATTGATCATACACAGCTCGAACAGCAAGGAAGGGCGCTCCCCTGGTGTCGGGGTTGCCGCCAAAACTTCCCCCGAAAAAAACGCCCTGAGACGATTGAGCACATTTTCCTACAATGCCCTGCAGCAGTCTTGTTGTGGAGATGGTGGGATAGGATCTGGCGGCACATCGTTCCAGGCTCATTATGGCCTTGGGACTGGAGGGCAATCCTGCTAGGACACCACCCCCTTTTTCACGACAACGTCTTTGTAGCAAATATGTACTCTCTGGGCAGGTGTACTGTCCTATGGGCCATATGGTGGCGAAGATGCATTCTGGAATTAGATGGGGCCAGGGTGGAAGAGGGGGAAGTCACAAAACAGATACGGCTGCTCTTCCAGCATGAGATCGCGGCACAATGGCAGAGAGTTAAGGAAAATCTGAGTCAGGTGCACAGCAGGGGTGACATTAAAAACATTATTTCCCGGTTCTGTGAAAGCTGGCTGGGGGGGGAGAGGGAGGGCTGGGTCGCGAGGGTGAGTTGGACAGGAGACAGGTTGGACCAGCAGAACGAAGGACATGGAGAGAGACAAGAGGAAGACTTGGAAAGAGACTATCAGCTTCACTTCAAGGACTGGACAAAGGTGGATCCCCGAGAGCAGTTGAGACCCGCACAGGATTTCGGTGACCCCTTTCCCCCCCACCCGCTGGCCCTGGAGGAATATCTGGGGGATTTAGAGTCATCTAACTAGATGCCTTGTAGAGGAATAGACTAGAATTTAGCATGTTTTCAGCTGTTTTCAGCTGATCTCAGCACAGCTCAGTGTAGCTCACTTCAGCCTTTTCAGCCTTTTCTGTTGTTTCAGCCTTTTTCAACATACCCTACTGCAGAGTGCAAAGACACAATAGGTGCCATGAGGATAGTAGGTGGATGGCAGAGGCTAGGGGATGGGAGGAGACTCCACCGGTGCCCCCCGGTGTTTCCCTCCCAATAACCGATCCTGCTGCAGGATAGGTATGGAAAAATAGATTGAATTTGAGACGCTGGACCCGGTTTCCAGCACAATGGCGCCACTTTTAAGATGGGTTGTTCCTGTAAAGATGCATTTAGGGACGCTGGACCCGGTTTCCAGCAGGTGTTGCTCCCCACCAATAGATGGAGCGGCCCGCCAGGCAAAGCCTCAATCCCGGTGGTTCTCTTACCACCACCAGGATAGANNNNTGGGAGTCATCTGCTATGGCGCTGATGATGATTACCAACCCTCGATAGGATCCTTCTTCACCCGTCCGGTGCGCGTCGGGTTTTTGCCGACTTTTTGGTCCTCCTTTTGTTTTTTTTCGGGGGGGGGAGATGAAGAGTCGGGAGTATCGGTAAGAAGCATCTGTTAGCAGCATCAAAAAAAAAAAAAAAAAAAGAAAAGAAAAAAGCAAAAAAAAAAAAAAAAGCCCACAGGAAAGGTCCACCCCGGGGCCGGGTCCCACTAGCAGCGTTGAGTTTCCTCAACGCCCGAATCTGGACGTGTCTGTGGATATGTGCAGAAATGGCGTTGAGTTTTCTCAACAGCACATCTCCAAGAACGCGTCCAGATTCAGGCGTTGAGGAAACTCAACGCTGCTAGTGGGACCTGGCCCCCGATAGAGGAGCTACAGCATGATGATGTGTTCAAAAAAAAAACAAGACCACAGGAAGGGTCGAGCAGAGTGTTTGTTGGCATACTTCTTTGGAATGAATTTGGCAGTGATTGCTTCCGGATTCTTGAAACTCCAACTGTGTGTATCTCCTGCTAATCTTCTTGCAGCCACGTCTACGCGGAAGGACACATAATTTTTTTTATTATTATTTCTTTTTTTAATGGTCCAATGGACCACTGATCAGAACAGATACTACACTTGATCTTGCTTGGTCACACGGGAAAAAAAAAAAACAACTTGTCATTTGCACGAGTTCTGAAGCCCACCTTTTCCTGTGAACTTTCTCATCATAAGATTTCAAGGTGAAAAAAAAAAAAAAAAAAAAAAAAGGGTATCTCAAAATAGAAATCGGCCCCACTTTGGCATCTCCCATCTGCCTGCAAGTGGGTGTGACATTATTCAATGCTCACGGCAAGGCAAGATAATACTGTGGCACCGTGTGCCACCGTGTACCCAACAGATCGATAGGGCCTGGGACAGGGTATAACATCCATCTTAGCCTCCATTTGGAAAGCAATGAGATCGACGAGAGAGGTACTGCATAGGAAGGAGGAGTGGGGGGAGGGGTGGGGGCAGCGAGGAGAGGACAAAAATCTTCTTTTACATTTTAATCATGAACATTGGAAACACAAAGCTTGCAGATGAACCCAGAAAAAAAAAAAAGTTGACAACCTTGTGGCAATTATGGACCCATTTGGTGGTGGCAGGGATCACAAAGGACATGCTCACACTTAGACCTTTTAAATTTTAAGGCACAACCACGTGAACCCCCAAACCACCCAAATGGGTCACGTGAACCCCCAAACCACCAGTACCTCACCCACACATCGGCCACGGGCCCCTCGCCACGACTTTCGGAGGCCCATAATGCGTGAGAACGACCGCCAATGAAATTTATCAACGGTGGCCCAGCCCCAAAAGCTGTGGCCATTAATGAGCCGCATCTCTTAAGACTACCCGGGAAACGTAGTGGTGGTATGACGTGACCCCATCCATGACCCTATTTTTCTTTAGGGGATCAAGGGGTCATCTCATACCACCTAACGCCCACCTGGGTTCATGTCATACCACCTAACACCCTCCTGACCGACCAAGGGTTCCCAACAACCCCTTCAAACACCACAAGGGTGTCATGTGTGCTCTCTTAGGTAGACAGCCCAAGGACATCGCCGGAAGGCCATGTTCTACCCAACAGTACCCACAAATATATGATCCAAATTGCCCATAAGCCACATACAACAGGCCCAAGCTCCTTTTGCACATTGAGAATGCCAGGAAGACCAAGAACCTTCGACTTGAGCACCGGGAGACGCGCTGCGCTAGCCCAACCAGCGAGTTCTGGTGGCACCAGGCTCAACCTGCCATCTCGGGAGGCATTCTCCCTTGGGAAGCGGGCCTATACTCGTGCCCGACACGTGGCAGTGAGCGTCGTGGAAGGCGAGGCTGGTCGGACGGATGACGACGCGTGTATAGGGGATGTGCTGGCTAAACTGTTGATTTTGAATAGCGGCGCGATGGACTCGGCGGGGTTAATACAACACGATAACGAAGGGGAGCTGCAACGTGGAGCGGAAGAATGGCTGATCATCTTGGAGAGAGGATGCAGGCGCCTACAGGAGCTTGTTGAGGAATTGTCTGAGCGGTCAAATGAAGAGCCAGGGATCGACGGGGGGGCGATCTCACTGGCGGGCTGGCTGAACGACACGGCCGAAGACATCCTGGAGGKTATGTGGGAGCTGGAGGAGGGGCCGGATCCCCAGCTCGATGCATACATCGATTGGCGGTGGGCGGATAGCATGATGAATACCTGTACGGCTCTTTGTGCAAAGGGTCGTGATCTGCGCTTTCTGCTGGAAGATCGGCTTGCATCCGTTGAAATAATAATACCAACAACTGTATCTACAACGTTGCTTTCCACATCAGAAGCAGCGGCGACATCAGGACTGGCGATATCAACGACAACATCATGCGATCAACTGGAGGAGCGGCGGAAAGGTGGCGAGAGGGATGCGATGGGCGACAACAACGACAAGGACGACGGCTTGAAGGGAAGCTCCGAGGACAACAACGACAATAACAACAACAGCGACAACGACAACAACAACAACAGTGACAACGACAACAATAACAACAGCAACAACAACAACAACAACAACAACAACAACAACAACAACAACAACAACAACAACAACAACAACGATAGAGACGACAACAACAACAACGACAACATCGACAACAACAACAACAACAACAACAACAACAACAAGCAGTCCCAGAATACCAAACACACTGTTCATGGTCTCAAAGGGATTGACAACAATAACGATGCTGTTGGGAGCGGTGGAGATGCTGATAATAACACCACAAATAATATTGACGATAACGATAATGACGGCTATGGTTGGGATGCTATGGATGATATGACGACTAATCGAGGTTGTAGTGGAATGATCGGTGTTGTTAGTTGGCAGCGGAGGGGCGTGGGTTAGTTGGTGGTGAATGGTCTTGCCCGGCCCGCAATTCCAATCAGGATGGGAGGTGGTTAGTTTAGGTTTTCCTGTCATCGCAGTTGTGTGTCTAAGGATTACGTACGGACTGGAAGAGCAGTTAATCCCCTCTTAGGAGGGCAATCAATGCTGCTTTTCACTATACATCTGATTAGAT